GATTCTCCAGTTGTGATTTACCCATCAGGGAGAGGTGAGGGAGTCTGTGATTCTCTACTCTTTGGAGGCTTCATGGAGCAGGCTGGCCCCGTGCCTCATCTGATGGCTACCAAGGTGGTGTTTTTGACTCAGTGTCACCATCTCCTTTGTCTCTAGGTAAGCACATAGACAGATGGCTGCTGTGTGCAAAGCAGGCTCAAAGGCAAGAGGTAAACATCAGCTCCTGTTCCCTGCAGGCAGAGCTGCCACTTCCCACTTTCAGTGGGCTCAGCTAATGGGAACAGCTGAAACAGCCGATTCTATTTGCTATTTAAATAACAGTAATTCCTACATTAACCTTTCCTGGCTCCAAATGGCCATTAAACTCTCTACTAGGCCACCACTCACCTCTTTTTGAAGTTCCCTGCTGCATGCAAAGCACTTCCCAGGCAGTCCAAGATGCACCATGCCCCTTTTCTGTCCGAGCTTCCCAGATCCTGGGACAAATTTGTCAAGTAAAGCTCTTTGGATCAATCCAGATTCCCTTTTTGGAAGCCACCCAAGGTAGTACTCAGCTGAGATTGATTTTGGTTCTATTCCACTTTCCATGGACTAATACATCAATTTCCCTTTCACCAACTAACTTTCTAGCAGTAAATCACAGCACAAGTAGTGGGCTCAGCATGAGGAGAATGAGGAAGCTTCTTCAAGCTTAAAATTAAGCACTGTCTCATTAGCATCCTGTGGATACTTGGGTATGGACAAGCATGGGTATGGACGGCTGAGAAAGTTGGGGCTGTTCAGCCTGGAGAAGAGAAGGCTGCGTGGAGACCTCATAGCAGCCTTCCAGTATCTGAAGGGGGCCTATAGGGATGCTGGGGAGGGACTCTTCATTAGGCACTGTAGTGATAGGACAAGGGCTAACGGGTTCAAACTGAAACAGGGGAAGTTTAGATTGGATATAAGGAAGAAGTTCTTTCCTGTTAGGGTGGTGAGGCACTGGAATGGGTTGTCCAGGGAAGCTGTGAATGCTCCATCCCTGGCAGTGTTCAAGGCCAGGTTAGACAGAGCCTTGGGTGACATGGTTTAGTGTGAGGTGTCCCTGCCCGTGGCAGGGGGTTGGAACTGGATGATCTTAAGGTCCTTTCCAACCATAACTATTCTATGATTCTATCTGCCATATTAGTGCAGCCCGAATCTTGAAAGCTTCATATCCCTGTGTAGCAGAGCCTGCAGCAAGGTGAGTACCGACAATGAAGTGACAGCAGCTCTTGAACTTGCACCAGAAGGAATTAACTTGCTGGTTGGGTATTAAACATCCATGGGTTGCACTTTGAATGCTCCTATGACAGGCTGAAGTCTCAGAACATCACAGGTGGCTTTAGGTCTGCATTTGCAGAAGCTCCTGGCTAAAAGTTGCTTCAGAATCTTGGTTAAAAGCATTGATAGAAAAGACTTAAAAACTAGGATATGCTGAGAGGATTGTAGAGGTTGACTTCAGAGGTTCAGAAGAAAACCTGCAGAGGACACACAGACCACATGCAATATGAAATTTGTACTGGTACGTGCTTTACCTCAGCCAAACCACCTCCTCCCTGGGCTTTGTCATTTCTCCTGCCTTGGTTAAAAGTCAAAATCCAGTTAGGCTGAGCCTCACTATTGAACTAACAGCAGTCAGCATTAACAATCAACAGCTGTCAGGGCCCTGCAGTGGCAGTTTTAATGCAGCTGGGGCTTCTGCCACACCACTGTGGCAATGCAGGGCAGTGAAGGGTATCTCATCTCTGAGAGTTTCTCCACCTCCCATGTAATTGCTTTTCAGCCTATGCAGTTCTTATTGTTGCCAGCAGTTATTACAGAAATGGGCAAATGAAACATAAAATACTATAAAATATTTATATAACAATTAGTTTGAGTGGCTTTACTATGTGCTTAATTAGAATTAATTTAGAAGAATGACTCTCGAGTGTAAAATCAGTTGATTACACAGTGAATAAAATGGGTGCTGCTGCTGCCTTCTGTCACCTGAAGCCCCAGCATGCTCTGGAGTGATACTGGCATTGCATTAAGCAGCAACACAATGAATTCAAGGTGCCAGGAAAGTAAATGGCTCACCCAAAGTCAGACAGCAAATCAGCAAGACGTCCATTAACAGAAATTAACAGCTTGCTTGCTGCTCACATTAGTATTCATAAGGAGCACTGAGCCAGCCCTGCTGATGGTAAATGCGGGTCGTTTGCAATGGTATTTTCCAGCAGCAAGTGTATAGATACCTTGAGCAAGTACTGCTGATGAGTAAGAGTGATCTTAAAGCTTCAAGACTTGACTGCCTCTTCCTAGTAGCAACTGTACAGTCTTAACACTGCTACCTAAATATACTTGAGGAGATATTAAATCAGTCTCATATAGAACATCTTGTGGCACTGTGATAGTGGAATTAGTACTTTAGAGATGAAACTTCCTCCGTTACATGAAGCAAGTAAGTTCACACATGGAGCTGCTGCCTCTTCCCCTTTGAGCTTTTTCCTCCCTGCTGGAAGCTCGTTTCTTCCCAGATGGGGAGCCGTAGCAACATCCTCCAGCCTGCTAGGCCAGACCTCACAGCCGTACCCCACACACCTTCACACAGCACACATCAAAAGACCCTTGGATGGCACCATCCTGCCACCAGGGAGGGCCCAGGGGCTGCTGCCCCCCCGCTACCACTGTGCTCATCACCCACACTGACCCCTTCAAATCTGTCTTCAGCAACACAGAGCTTTAATAACCCCACACTCCACCCCTCCCTGTACCTGCACAGCTCCTTCTCCCATGGTGTGCTTATCTACTCAGGCAAGGTCTCTCTTGCTGTATTTTAGGAGTGATGGTGGTGAGCTCTGAAGCTCTGCATTGCCTGTAGATGTAGTAGCATTAAAGAATACTTAGAAGGATGTTTGTTAGGATTTTCTTCCTCAGCGTTTCCAGCAGCACACGGTCAAGCCTCAGCTTCTCAGTAAAGGTCAGGATTAGAAACTGTAGAATCTGGGCTCTGGTCATCTTCCTGCAGCCAAGGCTCACAGGAGCAAAGCTTTGACCTGAGGATCCCTGTCATGACTAAGAGCAGAACAGCTTTACAATGATGTCAAAGCTTATTTGACTGTAGCTGATGGCTGTTTCCAAGAGCACTCAATGCCCTGCAGCTATCAGTATTCCCAGAAGCCATGAGCGACTCTTCCACCGAAACCACAGCTCACCTCTATTGTAGCAGAACTTAAAGGCAATACAAGACAAAATTCTGCTCTAAGTATTTCCACGTGGGAGTAGGAGCAAAAGGCAAAGGAAGGCAGCGAGTTTCTGAGGGAGAGAAGTACTTGGAAGGCAGCAGCACCTAAGAGAATGGAGGTGCCCTTCACGCCAGCATGAAGCATCCTGCAGCAGCTTTCCGTAGGCAGTGTGGATGCAGGCTGGTCCCAGATAAGCTTGAGACAAGATGGAACCATCTGTAACAAACAGACTGACAAAGCAGTTTAAAAATACCAAAATATCCCATGCAAATGGTTCCAAAAGTTTATTGAATATTTAATTTAAAAAAATCATATCCCTATGAGGTGTTCTAGGCAAAATTGGCTAAAATAAACTGCATAGAAAACCCAACCCTATAGTAATGCAAATATAACATGGAAATGAGACCATGAGAAGGAAGAGAAATATAGAATCATGACACACACATGACATTCATTGAGGATTGTCCCAACCATCCAAGAATTGGTTCAACGTGATGCCTTCTCCCTAGTTACATTACACATCTGACCATTTTATACAGGACTTCTATATTCCCTTGGTCCAAATCTTTGTATTCTTTCTTAGTTACTGCACCAGTTCTGCCATTCCTGTTTGGATCAGAAGGTGGAAACAGACAGTACATACACTGAACACGTGCGCTATTAGATGCAACTTGCTATCTTTGGTAGGGACCCTAAATCTGCAGACAAGTTTCAGTTTTGGCAAAGAACAGGTTTAATGCTGTTACTCAGTAGAACACTACAGGAAGGTTGTGTTGACCACAGGAAAAGTGGAGTTGGCTCTTGTAAGGTTTAATTTTTATGGGGTTTAAACCGAATTATTTGTATTAACATTCCTTGACTCAAATATGGTTGCATAAAAAGTCATTACTGCACAGCAGGCCATTGCCTGTAAGAGCGAAGGATGTACTGCACGCAGCAATTCCATCCTGCCATTTTCCAATGCTTAAAGCAACGAGGCTACTCCTGCAGGTGGTCACACAGATTTGGATGCCAGTTTCTCTCGCTGAGTGTCTCAGCACCTGGAGAGGAGCTTTTCCTGGGAAAGAGGAGGGTGAAACCAAAACACAAAGTAAAGGAATTTGGGATAATCAGTGCTAGAGTGTTTGCAGCCCTCCTCTGGGATCACATGAACAGGAGGAGCAGGAGCAGGAAAACACTAATAATAAAAATCAATGTAAAAGCCAAGGAACTTCACTTGAAAAGAGAAGGAAAAAGTAACCAGACTGTTTCCTTCCTAACATTAACATTCCATAAATATTGGACAGGTTTTGATTAAGTGCCAGTAGCTGCAAATGCCAAGCATTCTCTTTGCTTTGTCAAGCACTATCTGGAAAAGAAAAGAAAACAATATGCACCTCCTCAGTCCTCCCCACTCCTCCATAGTGGGAAATGCAAATAACCTGCATAGCCATGATCTCCTTAGCTGAAAACATTTAGTGGAAGACTAACTAGACTTAAACACTAAGTAAATCTGCTCACTTACGAGTAAAACATGCACTATTACAACAGACAGCTAGTTGTCCTCCAAAGGCTTTTTATGACAATTGCTAACTTGGCAGAGAGATGTTCTCCAAATGCATGAAAATCATTTTTAGAGCCTTAGTGAAGAACATGGTAGTTACAATATATTAGCGATTTCTGTGGCATAAACATCTTAAAAAGCAAAGTATTAAATATAAAAGCAATATGTATATACCCCTCCGTCCTCAGAAAAGCATCATGATTTGTAGTGTATTAAAGTCAGATTTATTGACTGGGGAATTAAGGCATAACCAGGAGACAGGAGGCTTCATTGTCTCAGCTCCACATAGTTGGCAGGGAACAACCCATAGCGGCCTTTGCAGACCCCCCTCCACCAGCCATCGTCGATCATTTCTATGTTGGTGATGATGTCGTCTGGGTCAAAGGAGATCTCGTCATCACCCGCTGCAGAGGGAGTGGAAGAGGCTCAGTATTCACACGGGGCAGTTCACCTACCAACCCACCACCACTGATCACACCACAGACACCCCTCACCCTCCCCTCTCCCATCAGGCCACGGCTATCCTCAGAGACGCTCCCCCATCCTCTGGCAGGATGGTTCTTACCTACTGCATTTTAAGTGCATTTCTAACTCAGAGCAACAATTCCCACCTAACACACTGAAAACCACTTCATGGTCTTCATCTCTCCTCAGAATCAGTCAGTCACGCTTTGCAGCACCCCTGTCTGCCCAGGGTTTAAGGAGCGCTAACAGTTGGTTAAAAGAGCTTTTGAGTACTCCCACTCTTTCAGACACAGTGGTTAGTAGCTTTCAGAAGCAGCTCAGTGCTATTGCTCGATCCCTAAATCTTCACAGCTTTATCATCTCATACATTACTACAAGAGGTGACAAGCTGGGGGTTGGAACTGGATGATCTTCAAGTCCTCTCCAGCCCCAACTCTTCTATGCTTGGCAAAGGAAAAATCCAGACTTACCTATCTGTGCAGAACAAACTTTTCAAAGAGAAGGTTAAAACCAAGAGCTTTGCTTACCAGCTTGATAATCGTAAAGGGCTATGGCTGTAATCCCAAGTTCATTTTCGTATTCATCATAAGCATTTTCCTCTAGAAAGAGAGAGACAGGAGAAAAAACAGCATGAAGCACACTACCTATCACGTGGAGCTCTTTCGTGTGGTGCTCCTCCTTTAATTCTACTGCCAACCCCCATAGGAAGGAGGGAACAAACAATGCCGGTTTGAAACGTGCTGATGCTCCTTCTGAAATGGATTTTTTCCTAAATCACCCACAATTAAAGCCTGAAGGAAGCGTTCACAAGCAGGTATTCAATAGGGTGTAAAGTAGACATGATCAGCCTTATAACACTTTTGTAAGTGTGACAGAACAGCCACTGAGCTCAAGATCACTGAGTAAGAGACTATTTAATAGTCTGCATGGAGCAGGGGAGAAAGGGGCCTGTTTAAAATTCACAGGTTTTGGTACCAGAGCAAGCAGATTCATTCTTCACACCTCATTTGGTAGCCAGAAGAGGTGAGAAAAACAGGAATTCGAAAGAACCTTTATTCTTGCAGTTGCAATTAGTCTGGGACATCCTCACTCCACTCCATTAAAGGCACGGCACACATCACGTCCATTTCAGAGTCCAGGAAGTGCTGACAGTGTTGTGCTTGGTAGGCCAGCACACATTTTCTCTCTGTGCTTTGTACACAAGCTGAGCTTCGTTGCACAGGGGGCAATGGTAACCACTTCTGAAGCTCTTTTTTGCACTGATACCCTAGGGAGCACCAGAATTACTGCACCATCATCTCCCTGGTTAAGTAATTTCAACCTTGCTCCAGCTGCACCTTCCTTTCCTAATTACAGTTTGCTGGTGGAGAACCTAAGGAGTCTCATCAGACTGAGACTTTAGAGAACTAGGACAGTGTCCTGTCAGCACAATGATTCATTACGACATTGCACATGGGAGTAATCTGTAGCTTAAGAGGTTTAATATCAGAAATAGACACTCTACCTGCTTGGTAATGCTCTCCTGCCCCTGCCACTTCATAGACAGTCTCTGGTTCGTATTCTGCCTCTCGCTGACTCACAGCTTCCTGGTAGTCTGACTCTGCAGCTTTGTAGCTGGGCTCTGGCTCACGTGCAGCTGAATATGCGGTGCTGTTGTAGGCAGGCTCTGCTTCATAGGAAACTGCGTCCTGCAGAAATACAGGTGAGGTTTGTCCAGGGTGCCTAAACAGGTTCCTACCCTTAGGATCAAAAAGCAGGTACTGGAAGTGATTCTGACCTCATAGACTGGGCTTGAGGGTGCCTTCTGCTCAGCTGGCTGCGTGGCAGGAGATGGTGGTGGAGTTTGTTTTTTGGCTTTAGCTTGTTCCTAAATTAAAGAGAAAGAAAAACTTCATGGCAGTTTAATCACTGATGTCATGACTCTGAAGAAGAAACAAGCCTCCATTAAGGAAGATGACAGCCAGCCTATGCTGCAATGAACTGATGCAAACAGGCAGCAAAGAGGGCTGGACTGGCTGGACTATTGGACCTGCCTGAAGGTTTAGTGTTGCTGGACAGTAAAGCCTCAGAAACACAGCAAAGAAGTGCAGAAACAAACCCTGGGCAGTATGTACACATGCGCATTTAAAAATGCTCTGAGGCACATTTCCATAGGAGCTGAATGGTTTCTGTGTCCAACAGATTCATTCTGTTAGGCCTCATGTCCCATTTTAGCCTAAGTTCAGAGAACTTGAAGCCCACGTGTTCTAATTGTACAACTGATCTATTATCTTTGATGAGAAACGATCCTGCAAGCTCTTGCAGGTCTGCAAAACACCTCCAAGGCAAAAGACTGAACAGCTCAGACAAACCTAGGTCCTAAATACTGACAATGAGGGATTCAAACATTCAGAAGAGCTCTATGCAGTAGAAATAAAACCAGTATCGCTACTGTATTCTATAACATGGATCTGAATCAAGTGTTCTCTGGCACTCAGGCTGTTCATGCTGTGCCATCCCACCTGTGAATCAAAGGGCACATCCACAATCAGCATTAGAAAGCCATGCATTAGGAATCCAGGATCCCATAGCACAAGAAGTGCAACACTGCTTGCATGACTTAGGAGACTTTAAAAAAATCAGCTATTTTCTTCTGCCTTTCTTTCTTTACCATAGGGGATAAGAAAACTGTGGATCTAGGGCCTAAGTTTCTTCTTTATTGTAGTAAAAGAAGAGGGAATACATGTTGTGAGAGAGTGTGCACTTCAGTTGTTTCAGTCTGTCAAGCTGTAACTCCCCAAAGGACTCTCAGGATAAATTGCAGTCCAGGGATGAAGGGATAGGGCTCTGCCACAGAACATTTCTTCCTTCCCTGTTTGGCACAGCTCAGGAAAAACATAACAAAGAAAGCAAGCAAAGTGGGTCTTGAGAACAAAGCCAGCTTTGAAGACAATTCAAAGCCCAGTGATGTCCTTCCTGGAAACAGTCCGGATGCAAACAGCGCTCCCCCCACTTTCAACTCCTTTGCTACAGCACAAAAAGCGCCAGCAAAGTGTTTCTTAGAAGTCAAACCTGAGTTTGGGGACAAACTAAATAGCAATAATCCATTAACAGTGTCAAACATGGCAACAGCTCCAGTAAGCTGTCCTAGGAGATGGGTCTCTGAAATCCAGACTACAGCTTAGGACAGGCACAGAGTAATGGCCCTGAAACATTTAAACTGCACGGTCCCCCTTCAGGCTGGGTTTCTTCCTCACTGAAATGCTCCACGGGAATGAGCATCCTGCTTTGTTCCCTAAAGTAGCAGAGGCTGGCTAAATCATGAGGCACCTGTCAATTCAAACCAGCAGCTAAAGAGCTCCCTGAACACCATTTGACTGTGTGACATATGTGAAAAGCAAGAGAAAAAGGATCACCAGTAAACAGGGCTCTTGAAGGAATGCAGCCCATATGTACTTTCCCATTGTGGGAGCATGTATGCCCACACACTTTCTTGAAGTAAGAAAGCTTTCTGTTTCTACAAGGAAGTTCACCTAAGTCAAAGTCCATCCCCACCCTTTACAGTAACTGTGGACAGTGTGGCTTACATCCCACCCCTTTTCCTGCTCAGCTTGTGAGTGAGGGCAGTGCAGCCAGTGCCATTCTAGTTTCCCCTTAAACTCATTCTCCCTCCCTCCCTGCAGTATCACACAATTAAGCATGGAGATGCTCAGGCTGGAAGAACATTAATCATCTGGTTATGGTGGAATTTAAATACCAGTTTTGGGGGAAATATCAATGTGTCCAGGCAACAGAGTTTGATGAAGCACAAGAAAAAAATCAAGCATAATGGTGTGAATTTAACCCACACTTACAGCAAAAATAACAGTAAAGAAAGTAAGTCATTTCTGAGACAGAACTGGGGGGGAAAGATGTAACAGTTCAATGACTGATGAGAACCTGTGTTACTACATTTAAACCCTTCTGGAAAACTGTTTCCTCAGCAGGAGGAAAGCTCAATGAAAAAATGAAGTGGGTAAAAAAAGCCTAAATCCACCCAAAATGAATGGCAAGAGAGCTAATGGAGAAGCTGAACCTCTTCCTCCACTCGACCCAGGCTACAAACCCATGCAGCAGAAGGGAATGCTAAGCAGAAAGCCTGGTCACTTACAGTGCCAAAATGGACAGGCCACGCTGGGACAATGAGAGCCAACAGGATGATGCACTGGCACATAGCTGCTACTCCTTGTGGAAACACAACTGTGGTGCAATGAAATCGCACAGTAGTGCAGAATATACTGCCAGCCCTACTTGTCAAGACAGAGGGAACATCAAAAGCATGCCCTGGAGACACGGCCATCACACAAAGCTCCTCTTTGCATCTTGAGGAACATCAGCCTGCTTGTAGCAAAGGTGCAGAGCAAAAAACAGACATGTACTGAACAGATCGGTCTGAGGTATCAGAGCTGCCACGTGCCCTAGGAAAGAGACACTTCCATGAAGCAGTAGCCAAGAGGTGAAGCACTGAGTTAAGATAGAGTATCCTGCAACAAGAGAACTCGTACCACCTGAGACTCGACCATGAGTCCAGTTTTCTACTTCAGAGCACTCACTGTAAGACCCAGGTGTTCAAGGATGATCTGGTTACAGGGACTGGTCTTTTGCAGAATCCCCCAGAAACAACCAAATCAAAGCAAGGAAGTAACAGTCCTTGGCTGAGGAATGTTGCCTTATCAACCACCATCAGCATCCTTCAGGTGACCTGAGAAGCTTCAGAAAGGCTGAGAAGTCCTAAAGACACCAGACACTTGTCTAACAACAAAGCAGTAGTAGTGATGCTGGAACGGAGTTACTGCCAGGTGCAAATACAAACCTCATAGAAAATAAATGAAAGAGCAGAGTGAATGCTGAGAAAGCCCATCTTCCCTTGGGCCTGATATTTCTTAGCAAGTCTCAGAAGTAACTGGAAGCAAGAGCAAGAAAGGGATCTCCTGGGTGCAGAATAGCCTTATTAACAATGCAATACTTGTGATATCCATCAGCCCCTATCACGGTTCTTCCTTATTTGGAGACCTGTAAAAGTATCTGCTAAATTAAATCCTGCAAAGATAACAGTGCTGTTTGCTGTAAGTCACAAGTCTTAATGCTATCCACACCCAATGTGCTGACAGAAGAAAATGAGTGTCAAGAAGAGGGAGATCTCCTGAAGGAGTGGATCTGCACTTTCAAGAGCAATGTACACCTCAAGGTTGTCTCCAGGTTGTGTCCAAAAAGAGTTATTTGTTCCCATTTTTCATCACCCCATAGGACAGCCCCCGGAACTGAGGAACTACAGCTCTTTCATTAGTGTTGCAGTCTCGGTGGCAAGGACAAGGACTGGACAGGATGAGGAGCGAAACATCACTTTGTTAGGGAAGCAGCTAGGTGCCAGACCTAGATACTGGCAATGTGTTAAGCCTAAACACACTGAAACATGCTGGGAAGAGTGGACAGTAGTTCAGGAGCAGAGACAGCCTGGCAACAGCTAGAGGAGTTATGGGGCTACCAGCTGAACAGCTACACCAGAAGAAGGTGGTGACACATGCCGACAGCATTTTGCTGTGGCTCCGAGTGAGCAAATGCTGAGGCATTTGGCTGTTCTCATCTGAAAAGCTCCCAGAGCAACTGCACAGACTGGATGCATTCCAGCTTTACTGCTCTGAGGAGAGGGGAACCAAGAAATTCTCCTCAAGGCAAAGGATCAGCTTTTCTCTGTGTGCTGGAGGATGGTGCCAATGCTAAGAATGACACAGGGCAGTCCCAAGTTGACTGTGGCTCAGAGTAGCACCCCTGAGCAGGCTGGATGACCTTATCCAATAGAAAAGACTGAATTCTCAGCTTCAGCTCCCTCCTCATCTCTTAGCTTTAAGATGCTGTGTTAAAGGTGTAACAGGACAGTAACGAAACCCAGTGGTTAGGGTAAGGTATTAAAATTTCACCAAGGCCACAGGGATGAAAGGCAGCATTAGAAGAAATTACTGATATACAAAGATGAACTCCCATTCATCTTGTGATATATGCATGCAGTGAGCATATGGCTTCAAGATGTACTGTGTGAGCATAAGGCAAAAGAGGTGATAAGCTGAAAGGAAAAAAACCAAAGCAGCTGTCACTTTAGATGAAGAGACTTGATTTATCCTATAAAGCTAGAATGTCCCAGATAAGTTTCAGATCAGAGCTAGGTTACCACAATCCTTCCATGCATTTAGTTCTTCCTACTTGTAAAACAAACTAGTTACATAACGTCTAAACTTGTGATGAATTAGACCATACTGATGGAATGGGATGAACACCAGAACCTTGACATTCTGTAGCAGCATCCCACTAAGAGGAAGTATCTGCCACATCTGAGAAACCAGTCATTGGGTCTGTCCCATTTGTCGTCAGGCAAAGGACCAAACGGGTCAGAAACCACCTGACCATCTTTCCTGGATTCCAGATGTCTTACAGAGGATGTTGAGACAAATTCATATGCAAGAAGATGTATCAGTGGGGCCTGCAGTAGGTGGGTGTCCTGGGTTCAGCAGTAGCAGTCATTTTTCTCCTCCTTGGTAGCTGGTGCAGTGCAGTGTTTTGACTTTCAGAACAGAGCTGATAACAAGGATGTTTTGGTTTGGCCAAGGACTTTGTGAGCCTCATGCTCTGCCAGGGAGGAGGGGAAGCCAGGAGGAAGCAGAGACAGGACACCTGACCCAAACTGACCAAAGAGGTATTCCATACCACAGCACGTCATGCCCAGGATGTAACTGGGAGTGAGCCGGAAGGGCTGTGAGACTGCAGGGTTGGAGGAGGTATTGGTCGGTGCTTGGTTGGGCTGAGGGGGGGCGAGTTATCGGTTGGCTGGTGGTGAGATGATATATTCTCTTCCCTTGTTATTTCCTTTATCATTATTATCATTGGTGGTAGCAGTAGTGATTTGTGTTATACCTTAGTTACTAAACTGTTCTTATCTCAACCTGTGGGAGTTGCATTCTTTTCGATTCTCCTCTCTGTCCCTCCGGGAGCGGGGGAGGGAAAGAAAGGGGGGGAAGTGAGTGAACAAGTTACCTGACTGGGTTTAAACCATGACAGTGGGCTACACTGGGTCTAACAATGAAAGATACTTTAGGTGGAAAATAAAAACAAAGGAGGAGAAAGAGAGAGACAAGAAAGAAGGAAACACGAAAACTCCCCCATAGCCAGCCAGGAAGGAAGAGCAATGACAAGAGTCCCAGACAAGCACTCTCCTCTGGAAAGGTCTCCTCAGCATAGCAAGTGGCAATGAAGACACTGATGGGGCTCACCACTTTTCCTGTGCATCTCCTTGAGTACTGTGTGCTTTCAATAAGGATCTGCTCAATCTCCCTACTGGATATTCCTGCTTGGAACACTAGCAGCAGTAGTTGTAGCATCCTACTTAGGTATCAGTATTTTATAGTCTCAATACACACATATGGCTAAGTAGCATTTATTCAGAATTTAAAGGACTGGCTCCTTTTGTGTCCTATGCTTACTCTTCTCTAGCGTAAGCAAATATATGTAAAACAAGAAGAGAAGAAGGGGAAAAGAGGGACTACTCTTAATGCCAGCATCAGTTGCTTCCCATTCCGTGCCATATCAGTGTTTACGAGTATGAGGCAATGACATCAGAATAACAGCATGGGACTGCAAGGGAAACTGCCACAGCAGCTGTGGACAAACACTGCTGCAGCAGCTTGTGTGAAAGGTCACAGAGCTGCAGACAGAGGCCTTCAGGATTACTGATAAGGCACCTCAGGCATTGTGTAACAAAAGAAATGAACAAGTCACAATGGGTGAGTTACTACGAACACACGAGTCCTCCCATCTCAGCAGCGGAGTTTCACCAAATATGAAAATCCTATAAGGCAGCTAAGATGTAGGTTCTGACTAAGCATTTCCTGCAATTATTTTGCTTCTGAATACCACAAAAATCACAAAGCTTTTAACCATGCCAATGCTGAACTAAGATTCTTAATTCCCAAACTAAGATTCAGTTAACAATTGGAAGGTTATTTCCCCCAATCTCATGGGCATGTGTTATACCAACGGGTGATACCACCTCCATCTTCCACAATACTGGCTCCAAAAAACTAGCATTACCAACCAGAACCATGGTATTAAACTACTTGAAGCACTCTTGTAGGACCACACGTCTCTTCCCCTTATGAGCTTCTCTGTGCCCATGGGAATCTGGTACTACCAAAAGGCACAGAAGGAAAAGGTCAGGCTGCAAATGCTAGTGGTCAAGATGAGCTTGCATATTTTGGGACAGGCCTGATAAAAATATATATACTATTAAGTGTTCCTCTATCACCCTATCTGATGTCTGATACACATATGGTACATGCTGATAGATGGCTGGAGTTGCAAACAGGTAAAGCACGGGTACAAACACAGGAAGAACAAAGAACTTCAAGGTCTGGATGGAAAAAGAAAAGTATCTCTCCTTAAAAGGTTCTTTTTTCTCCCAGCATTGCACTGAAACACACAAAACATGCTGCTCAAATGGGATTTGAATCCTACTGACCTCCAGTTTCCTTCGAGCCTCTTCCTGTTCTTGTTTTTCTCTGGCCATTCTTTGGGCTCTCTCAGCTTCTGCCTTCCTTCGGTCTTCCTGCTCTTTTTCCTTGGCTAGGTTTTCAAAGTTAGCTCGGATGCTGCTTGTTTTATTAGCAACTGTAACATTAAATGAAAGTCAAATGTTAAGGTTCTGAGTAAAGGTAGCCTGGAATGAGCTGGTACAAATTTCTGCTAGGATTGAACATGTTTCTGCTTTTCTACTGAGCTCACGGCCCATTCGGGAAAGTCCTTTTAGCCCTCTTCTATCCCAGTGATATTCCAGGCTTTTGAACATTATTACCTCCAAAGAAAGGATTTCGGGCCACTGCCTTACCAGCTTCTATTGGCTTGGTCTTCTGGTAAGTTGATGCTGGTTTCTCAATATCTTCAAAAGTTGCTGCATTCTATCAGTAAGGAGAGAAAGAGTATGTTAAAACACACAAATTCATAGAGACATTCAGACAGCTTCAATCTGTGACATTTTATTGTGATATTGCCCCTGGACTTCAGAACACCGAAATAAAATCAGGAAGAATCAAAACTTGACAAATGGAATAATCCTCTCTGTAAATTGAACTACAGAAGAATTAATCTCCAGGGGCAGGTTTAAACACATTCAAATCCTATTAATTAGAAAACAAATGTAGCTTATGAACAGGTGACTCATCAAAACTAAAAATGAGTCAATGTCCTAAATATTTATTATGTAGCTGTTGCTGTTCAAATCTACATTGTGCAGGATTTTCATCAAGGTAAAAGTATCCAGTCTCCTTAAAGAAGCAGATATTGTTAAAACAATATTGTATTTGAGAACAGTATCAAAACAATATTGTATTTGAGAACAGTATCAAAACAGGAGGGTTTTTTAAATGAATGGTCTTGAGTCCTGAAGGCACAAATAAAAAGATCCTACAGACTGTCAAACTCCACTACTTTCTCACTTTTAAATGTCCTACATAAAGCAGAGAGTAAATTTATTCAGTAGATAAATGTCAGTGAGGACTTTTTCATGGACAGGTAGAAGGGGAGTATCAGCTGCCCTTTTACTGTTACAGAATACTAAACCAAATTATCCTAAAGAGAATCAAGGCAGGCAAAGTCGGTATGTAAAAGACATCTATTTTAAGCAGTTCACTAGAAGGATATCCTCAAGATATAAGGCATCAGCTACATGTTAGAAGACATGACTGAAATTGTGGAATTAATGGATTTTCTCATTATTTCATACAAAGTTTACTATTCTTTCATTTCCATGCTTCAATTTTCACTACTTATTTATATACAGTACCCCAATGTACACACAGACATGTATAAACTGGCATCGGTGCTGTGTGTATAAACTGGCTTAAAGATTTAGAAAAGCACAGAACTCTACTATTAGACTGGAGAAGTATCCAGAAATTGGGAGCTGAACCCTACAGATCTAACCAGACTATACTATATCCCTACAGACTATTTGTCATACCTTATCCATCCGATCTTTCTGTACTCCATACTTCCCACCAAATCCTTTTGCATAATCTAAAATCAGGATAAAAGGGTTAGAGCAGGGACTTTGTTACCCCTCCCATCTTTCTGCCAAACGCGAATAGCCATTTCAAATGCAAATAAATAGCCATTTCAGCTGCATGCAGAGGTACAGTGACAGCCGCCAAAGAAAATGCAACCTGGTTTTAGATGCAGAAAGGATACACAAGAGCCTTCAGGTACACCAGCAGATGACAGATTGTGGGCCACATGCATTCTCTGAGTAAACATTAAGCTGAGGATTGATAAGGTATCAAGCAAGGAATAAGGGATGAGCCCTTCTAATGCATCACTTCTGTAACACAGCCTTTCACAGCACCAATTCTTAGCCCTCTGCAGTAACCATATAACCTAAGCGATTTTGCATTGCTCAAAGGAGCGCTATCCAGTCTTCAGTGACCACAGAGGTGGTGTTTTTTTCTCTTTAACATGGTAAATTCTATGAATGACAGGCAAATATAATAAATTTCTCATTCTAGTGGATTTGGTTCTGATACCCAACTGATGGATGTTAAAGTCATTGGTAATAACTCCTGTTCTAACATGGAAAGGGGCAATTCCACAAAACAGCACAAGCCTGCAGCAACTCACAACCACAGAAATGGGGTGGCCATGCTATTCTGTACCACCCTTGAGCTGCACACTCTTCTGCTCACTTGATGCTGACTCCAGCACTTGTTAGACTCCAAAATCAGTGGCATTAACAACAAAAACAAGTGCCCCAAAAACAGCTTTCTGCTCTTTGTAGTGAGTTAGTACCGAGAGAAACATCTGATGAGCATCAGAAACAGCACAACAGAAGCAGAAAGAGTGTGCGGCTGGAAACACCTTCCTGGTGGCAGTGAGCTGTAGGAATGTGCCCTTGGACTCTGCAGATGCACAGGCTTTCCTATACATCCCTGAATATAATTACTCCTTCTCCCTCTTAGCCCCAAAACCACTTGGGTCCAGCTGTTTTAGCCTATGTCCTTGTGCTCTGCTAAGGCACATCTGATGGTGTATTTGTGTCGCTACAGCACAGAAAAATACTATGAGAATGAACAACCTCATTTTCTTCAGCTTGGTATGTATTTTCAGCCAGAATAAATGGACTAAACTTACATTTTCCTGATCCAGACTTCTCACTTTAAGATAACGGAAAACCAGGAATTCATGGTTTGTACCCCAACTATTTCACAATGAATAAAGAGAGCATGAATAAAGAGCATTTGCTCACCCAAGAAGCACAAACATTCCCTATTTCTTGTTTTAATGACTACAATTGTTTTTAAATGATCTTGCCATAACTCATTGCTTGTTATTGATTACATCCATGGCCCTTAGCTGAATATTTTCCCCACCAATTTTTAAAGGCAAAATTTCACATTTACTCTAAAACTGGTCAGTGTGATGCCATTAACATCATGATATTAGTAATGTTATTATTGCATTGTATATATAGCTATTAAATAAATGCATATTATAGAGCTTTTAACTAAACACTGGCTATCTCTTTCCTGAAAAGAGGCTTGCTTTATGTAACACTGTAAGAGTGAAATGGAAGAACATTGCCAGATCATGTGGGAATAGAAGCGCAAGAAAGTGTCTGCACATTACTAGCACCAATCTACTCAGAGAACTATTTAAGACTGTGTAAGAAGTGGCTGCACTGTTAAGAGAGTAACAAGTGAAAACGGTGCCTTGTTGAGATTCATGCTTGGCTAGTTTCTCCTTGTAATCAAACCCCACAGCAGATGGGTCCTGCCTTTCTGTCTGTACACCAAATTTCCCTCCGAAGCCACTCTTATAGTCTGAAAAAGCCACATGACACTCAAAGTTTTTGCAGTATTTTCAATTACCAATCATTTTGAATGGCAAAAAAAAATCATCTCAATATACTTTTGTAAGACGAAATTCAAAAGAAGTTTCCATTTGAGATTAGGAAGAGGTCAACATGATTTATCAGGCCCTAGCAAGAACACCATTCTGAAGTCACAGAATAAAGCACTTCTTCGCATTGTTCAGAGATACTGCATAATGCACTTGTATTTAATCAACATTACGAACACAAACACACATAATATGTTCACCAGAACAAACAACATACAAAAGGATACAAGACACTAAAATGTGTGGTTATCATCAGTGTGCTTAGTATTTGTACACTAGAGATCTGACTTCCAAAGAGATGTTAAGATAGGGTAGAGAGGCTATCCTCCAGATATTCCTACACAGCACTGGTTAACAGAAGAGGAACAGTCCTGCTTCTGCACAGCTTGAGCTAAGAGTTACGACCATTCCCAAATGCTGCCTTAGAAGAGCCATTATAATATATGGTATAAAATGAAGGCACAGAAAGGGAGGAGGTGTTCAAGTAATCCTCCCGGATAAATCTGAGGATCACTTTTAACTTCTTTAATTGAAAAACAAACCAATTAAGTTTGTTTCTTTAAGTTAAGGGTGGTGATAGGCAGAGGGCTGGGGAGCAACTTCTGCTCTGGGTACCTGCATTCCATAGGAATAGGTACCTAAACTGGCAATGAGAAAGGACAGCATTAGATATTATATTACTCTTGCATAAAATCAGGGGTACATATAACAGGAACCAGAAAAGGAAGATTATTTGCGGAAAGTACAAAGAAATTGTTAATGTGTGGTTTGAACAACTCAACTGAAAAAGTTAAAAACAATCCAGACTACCTGCAAACTCATAAAGCTTCTCCAGTGAGAATTTATTACTGGAGTGATAAATCTGGAGAAGTCAGAGCTTCTTGGGGACTCAGATGCGTTAAATCTGCTTTGCAGACACCAGTACACCCGATACACAGCAACCATTCAAACACAGAAAAAGGAGACCCGTGTCAGCTACTGTGGCCAAAGATACCACAGGAGGAGGGTTCACACAGGGAAGAGAAATGTCAAAATGAGGGAAGTCAGAAAGAAAGGCAAGGAATTGTGAACTGATATACCTATCTGGGATTCGTGCAGCTGCACTTTCTCCTGGTGATCCCAGCCAAGTGCACATTTGTCTTGTCTGTCTGTCTGCACACCAAACTTGCCTCCAAACCCCTTTACATAATCTGTATGCATGAAGTTTCAGAAAACATTATTGCAGTTTATGACTGTAAAGAGTATTTCATAAAAAACAACAGTAAAATGTTATGGGGTAAGTTGCCCTGTCATTAATGATAGTATCTTTCCCTCTTTCCCCTCCCTGCTACACTGACTGTCTCAGCAGAGGGGTAGGATACCCATTCAGGAACTCTGGGATCACAGAGCAAGGAAGCACCACAAATCCAGTGCAGGTTACAGCACACAGACTCAATGGTATTTAAAGATGTGAAGAGTCTGATGCACCTCCTACCTAAAGCCACATGTAGAGCACAGATACAGAAATAATGAAGGACTTGATACCTCCTCTGAATACCACAGATCTGTGCAATTACACATTTATTTCAGTAACATCCCTATAGACATTAAGTCCTTTGGAAATGTGCTTGTGAAACACACAGGGACAGTTTACAATGCCTTCCTTTTCATTTAAGGGGAACAAAAATCTGCATAGACAAAGGGCAAACACACATTTACCACAAAAAAAAAAAAACACACCCTAACCAAAATATTTATCCCAAGTTTAAAAGGCTGCTTGATTTGAACTAGTATATTGAAATAAAATAATAAAAGACTTTGTGATTCATGTTTTGCCTTGATATTCAAAGCCAACAGCACTTTTTGTCCACTTTGTCCTTGTCAACACCGTATTTACCACCAAAGCCCTTGAATAATCTAGAGATAAGAATTTTGTTTGTAAGCGTTCAATGACAAAGCATTACCTTGAGAAACTGTGATAATCAGACCTGCTAACATTACACCCTGTATTAAATGAAGAACTGACATCCCCATTTAATCTTGATTCCAGATATTTAAGTCATAAATACTTCAGAATTCTTTAACTCTTCAGGATGGAAAATAAAGCAGCATCATGTGGAGTTCAACTGCTGAGCAATATCAGCAATTCTGCTGTTTGATTCCTTGATAAAATTCTTTAGACACTTAGAGCAAAGTGAACATCAAAACCAATGTCAGCAACAGCCTGGATGCTCCTAAACAAACACCCCCTTGTACTCTTTGGCATTTCTAGAGTGTAAATGCTTCTTTGAGATAAAAAAGAGATGGTGAAAGTGTCAGAATTTTTCCATGAAATGGTCAATTTTTGATCAGACCTGCCTGGAAAACTGAGTAGCAACACAACAATAACAACTCTAAATCTGATAAATGCTTCCAAAGTAAGAGCAGTTGGCTCATCACTTAAAAGCAGTCAAATCCTGTGGTTTAGGTTTCTTTTTTAGAAGTTAAAGTTTTCAGCAACATCAATTTTAGTCAGTGTTAACTTTCAGCGGGGTATGAGTTCAACAGATGTAAAAAATCCTAGTATTTTACAACACTGCCCTATCATGAGTGCCTACTACATCAGAGGATGAGCCCACTACTACGTGTGCCTACTCACCCTTCTGTGGCTCATGTTTTACCCTGTAATCAAACCCCACTGCACTCTTGTCCACTCTGTCAGCCTGTACTCCCTATTTTGCACCAAAACCACTTGAGCAGTCTGCCTTGAGAGTAAAAATGAAATTATGAAGATTTTAATGGAACCATCTCAGCAATTGAGGGGAAAAAAGTTCTTTCAAAATGAAATATTGCTCTTTAGCACGCAAAATAAAGTTTAAACACAGAAAATAAGATGGGCAACAGCCCCTATAGTTTATGATGGTTCCTCTTAAATCTACTCCTTATTTCCAACAGGGTGCAATACACTGAAGAACAACTCCTGGTCTTCCTAAAACGATCCTCACTTCCTTGATCCTCACTTGTAAAAGACAAGTAAGACTCATGATGACAATCATGATGGTGCTATTTCCTTGTCTCAAAACTTCATCAACTCAGGAAATAGCTTTGAAATTCAGTTTTTCATCTTGTTTTCCTCCCAACCCCCTCAACATTTGATTCACTGAGAACACCACTAAACAACTGCCTCACTAAACAAGGTCTTTTCCCAGACAGTAGAAGAGTAGGGATCTACTCTACTATTTATAAAATACATGTGTCTACAGAGATGAGCACCTCACCACTTTACCTCTTTGGGAGGCATGCTTCTCGGTTTTGCCCTGATATTCAAATCCAACAGCTGACTGGAAGAGAAATAAAATTGCATGACAAAGAGTTAGATACTAGTAGAAAAAATGCATGCACTTCACTGGACACAGCACAGGAAGCTCCTCTGTCTTTCCATACTGCTCTGACCTCCTTGATCAGGAGCATAAATACCTACTTAACTCCAGGCCATATTCATTTGTATGATCATTTAGTAGATTTTCCTTTCAATTCATCTCAATTTCCCATTAGGGCCTTCTTCTATCTTGCTTTAAACAGTTATTTATCTCCATAAAAGTCAGTGTTAGTTTACTGCTAAACTTCAAATACAGCTGGAAGAGCAGACCAGCATTTTAAGGTATTGGAATTTTTCAGTTGTACATATAAAATGAGAAACTTAACTACTATGAGTAGCTGTATATGAAATGGAATTGCTTACCTGGTCAACTCTGTCAGTTTGCACTCCAAACTTGCCACCAAACCCTTTCACCAAATCCACTTGGGAGCAATGCTTAGAAAGTTTGGCCTGATATTCATGTCCAACAGCTGACTAAAAACAAATGGAAAGTTCAGAAACAGGCAGCAGTTCTACGCAGTTCTGCATGGAAAACAGTGCACCATATAACCTGAGGATAAGCTTTGTTATAAATACACATCACTGCCAGTGTTCTCGTTGAAACTAACTTCCCTGGAAATGGCTACTCTCTTGAGAGGTCTTTGAGACCATCACCATGCTAGCAATACAGCCCAGGCAATGAAGTGTCAAGAAACAGTCTGACAGCAGTGACTGTATTTCATAAAGACTGTGTTAAATTCTGCATTTTTACTTCAAAAGCACAGGAATGATAAACAGGAAAGATACAGACAGAATCCTGATGGTGTTCATGAAGAATCTGAAGTAAGGCTTAGTCCCAGATAGTAGACTGTAACCAAATACAACTACAGCTAGGTTTTCCATTGACATACTTTTAAGGAAGGGCTCTGATCATAAATCAAGTTTAGGCATCTTCTCTGTATACATTCTCCTCACTTGCAAAATGGCACCTCAGCATGAAGTGGTGCTTCCACGTAAAGGCAGAGCTCCCCATGCCAAAGGCATCCCTGCACCACAGTCTTCAGTTTGAGCCTGCACCTGGAGCTCAAGCTGAACACAGCAAGTTGAGGCACAGTTACGTCACACTGCGACTGGCTTCAGGTAAGACACAGGGATGTGTAATTACACACCTGCAAGTGCATCCAGATAGCATTTGCTAGTGTTACTTTAATCTAGTGGTAGGACACCCTTCTAGATCCTGGGGTTGATGCTACAGCCAAGCACCTTGAGGGGTGCATAACATAGCAAAAATGCTTTTTCTTGTCCAGTGCCAAAACTGAGTTCTGGCCAGAGCAACTTGCATTTTGCCACTTTAACATTTGAGTCTCAAATGCATATGATTACTGTCAGAGGCAGAAAGAGAAGACTCTGTAACTTGCCACACACAGCCATGATCAGATGGAGAGGCTGCACCTTGTGACAATCACCTCTCATGATTCAACACCACCACCCACCCCATTCAAGGCAGTCAGCATCTGCATCTGCAGCAGGGAGCCCTTCAAGCAGCTGCCCCAAGTTCTGACCTTTGGGGAGCGAGAAACTGTCTTCTACCAGACAGCCGGACCATTTGAGGACACAAGGTGTCCAATAAGTAACTTGCCTTTTACAGTATTTACAGGGAACATTCCAGGCACTCAGGAAAGCAAAACATTACCACATATAATGGGTGAAGTAATTACCAAGTAAGAGAACAAGGATGACAATAATAGGACGCTACCTTAGCTTACAAGCAATATAAAAGCTCCTTTATTTTCCTGACTGAAACAGTCATACTTTTGTTCATTTTGCAGGTGTTCTGTAGCAGAATAACTGTTAAATGTCACAGAAAAGGCTCCCGATTCCCATTACATTTATGAAAGACACAAAGCTCTGAAAATTCTGGGGTTTATGTGACCTCTCTTTTGCTGTATCAGTTGAGGTGGGTGAGGTTTAGGCATGCTGTTTTCTTTACGTGGTACCAGAACTTTGGATTTCATCAAATACCAACCATTACCACAAACTCCTTTTTAGAAAAGACATGGAAACTATTTTTCTTAGAAATCTGTATTTCAGAGTAATCTGCCCTCAGAATTCCTCAGCACAATACCGTGCTGCATTTTAAATCAGTTATGGAGGTCTGCCATACAGAATGATGTAACTGTTCATTTTAAGTCAGCACCAAGGTTTTGTCCTAAATAAAGCAAAAACCTGTACCATGACAATGCTGCAGATACACTCATTGATTTAGGTGAGTCAAGCCTTAACACCAGCACACCTGCACAGAGGAACAGATACCTATGAAGGGGAGACCTCACTGAGGAGGTTTGAGAATTGCAGCTATAAGGAAGAAAGCTTTATTAAAATCATAATTTATGAACATCTCCTGCCACCAGTATCACTCAGGAGAAGGATAACGTGCTGATGCTAGGAGCTACACAGGACAAATGATTGAATGTGCTCAGCAAGTCCTTTCCCAAATTCAAAGGTCAGACTAGCCTGCTTCACTGACAATTATACAGCAATTTACTCCGGAATATGGGAATCCAGCAAAACCTTAAAGCTGCCAAATTACTACAAACCCAGAAAGTAAGTAAAGTAAGAAAATCAAATCATTCTTGTTCAGGAAACAGTTTGGCTCTTATTTTAAGAGTACATGAAAGAAACTAGCCAGAAGTTGGTATGCCTAATTATCACATGGCTAATAGAATTACCTTAAGAATTATCATTTCTTCTGTTAATAGAGTGTAACTTCAACTGCCATCAAGTCCTTATGTAAAATGTTACCATCAATGACTTTTTTAAAATACAATGATTAGTTGTCACCTTTGACAGTTTACCACTGCTGCCCACCCTTTTCCTCATTCTCTGGCACAGAACTGAAACTAAGCTGCATTTATTCATGCATTAAGTACTTTGTTAATTTAAAAATACACAGTTAGAAACTTGAATCTTGGCTCCAGGGGAATCCACTCAGGACATAAGCATGCAGACTTGCTCTAAAGACAGAGCAAGCATCAAACAAAAACGTGGGCCCCTTGTGCATCCCAGAACTTCTCATCATCCATATATGCCTGATTTGCCACCTGAAATACTTGTTCCTGATGCTTCAAGTGCTTTAGTTCAGGTATTTATGTAAGAGCACCTTGATTTATCTGGGAAACAGAACACGATGGCCTGACAGAATTGGGCAGTAGTGGTTACAAGTGTCCTTGATAAAGCACTGCGAGAGTGCTTCTTCTGCCATCAAAATGAGCCACCACTGCATATAGCTTATGCCATGATCTCAGCTCCTGCATCTCTGAAACTAGCAAAGTTGGAACAATTTTGCACGTTCACCAAGCTTACCTCACATATGTAGTTGTGCTGGCCACAAACAAAGTGAGGCAAGACTTACAACATCGTCCCAGGGAAGCATTCATACTTACTTTATCCATGCGATCTTGTTCGACACCAAATTTCCCTCCATAGCCATGGGAAGCTTTTGGTCCTGTTTCAAGCTCCTTCTCTTTGAGGTTCTGGTGTTCTTGGAATACATTCTCTCTCAGCTCATGAATACTTTAAAGACAGATAATTAAGCAGCAAGTTTTACTATGAAAGTTTCAGAAGATAACTTCAAAAAGATGCAAAATAAAATGATAAAAATATCATCTTAATTAAAGTTGGACAACTTGTATTTTTCAAGCCCTTCTCGCTTTATCAGTGCACAAAACAGTTCATGATATTCTGAGCAACAGAATTTATTCTTAGAATCATAGAATGGTTTGGGTTGAAAAGGACCTTAAGATCATCTAGTCCCAACCCACTTGTCATGGGCACAGACACCTCACACTAGACAAGGTTGCCTTTTTGGACAGTTTTTCTAGTGAAAAACATTGGGCTTAAGATTGAAGGGTATTCTGCTGTTTGAACAACCAACTACTTAGAATTCCTGTGTGCCTGAAACATGTTTTCTTCTAATATCCTATTTCAAGTTCTTTCCAACATTTTTTATTTAGATGGCAACTTTTCAGAATAGGGAACATCTCTTATCAGACAGTCCCTATGGTAATGGGACTCTGATTCTAACTAAGCGTTCTGGACACAACAGCAATATAAAAGAAGGATAGAAGGAGACATGCCCCTTCTCTTCCCCAAATGTTCCCTTGCAACATGCAGGAATTGAACTTACTGTAGCACAGGCTACACCTGAGAAGAAGCAGCCAAGGTAGTAAAGTGCACCTTTAAACACTTCCCACTGGAGTTTAAAGCTTGCTCAGGTGGAATTCAGCCAGTAAACATCCCCACTGCACTCCATGTAGGCAGAATAACATTGATCCCTGAAGTAACACACTTAGTTCAGTCACCTCCCCTGCGCAACACTGCTGACATTTATTCTTAGCTTTATACCATGAGGGTTGCTGCCCCAGAAATACACAAGCAAACCCAAAATGAACGTCACAACCACAGATTTCCTAAAACTGCTTTAAAGCTAAGTCTCAGACACTTCTCATAAGAAGCACAAGACTAAGAAGATGGATCATTTCTGTCTCACACAGCCCTCCCTGACGCACTCGTTTGCTTTTCTGCCAGAGGGCTCAGTTTGTCACTCTGCCAGAATTTTTATGAGTTTGATAGCAGCTTCTCAACAAAGCCTAAGAATTAAGGGACAAAATGTACCCTCAAAGTACCAAACTGGAGCTGCTCAGATCACCCAACAGAAACCTCTCTCCTGGCACTATTGGCTCTGGCTCCAAACCAGGACAAAGAAGCCTTCCAGACACAAAGAGGCAGGAAAAATAACATTTCCAGTTACAAAGAAAGATGTAAGAGCCCCTACACCAAATTCCTGATCTTCATTTCAGATCTGAAGATACTGACACATTTGAAAGACCAGCAATCTGGCAAATAATCTTCTACAGAGAGTCTTGTTTAATTATGAAGATACAAGTAACTGAGAACATGAGTTGATTAAAAGTCAGCTGGGATTGTGACTATTAATAAATTGAAAAAGAGAGCTGATTTACTTGATGTGCTCTTGATGGCCGGATCCTTTCACAGTTTTAGCCCCCCAGCGCTGTTCTTTCTCACTCACATCATTCTGCAAAAGACACACATAAAGAAGAGTTAAGACCCCAAAGACATCGCTAAGTTATCTGCACTTGAGAGTTCACAACAAAAGCCTTCAGCAGTCAGAGACATCAGAAGAGTCAGAAGAGAAGATTCTACCACCCTCACTTCTCTTCTGCCGTAAGCCCCGTGCTTTGTCCCCTGCTGAAATGCACAGAGCAGACATTCAAGCCCCAAGAGGCTACTGCTTCTTGATGCAAACCTCTTCCATAGAGACCTCCCTGCAGTACCCAGCTAAGAAAACACAGTTCTGTTAATCACCCACAAGCACAAACTGCTAATTCTTTTTCTTCAGGCATATGTTCCTATCAGTTTATTTTGCTGAGATACAGTCCCCACCCTGAAGAATTCCTCTTTAACACACCACAGCACACACTTCTGCTGAATGAATCAGTAACATTCAAAAGCCATACCACGAAATCAGGATCCGTCTCCCAGTCATCAGTTCCGTCAACCTGGTTGATACAAACAGCGAGGCCTGCAGTAGCCTTCCACATCTGCAACACCATCAGAACAAGCTCTGTCACGCTCCAGTCACATGTCAACTCTATTTACGTATAAAGCTGATGGAGAGGCAATCCAAACTTCTCAATGGAGGATGTTATTTAAACACACAAACAGAAGCTACATTTGCAGTGAAAGTCAATTTGACCACTGGGTCTCAAACTGGTTTGAAATCCCCTTTTAGTTTTCCTACTGCAAGAAGCTTAGGAGGAATCACTGACATGATTTCAAAGAGAACAAGGAAGTCTTTCCTTGCTCAAATTAACATTTATCTTCATTCACTGCACTGAAAGATTCCTCTTCAAACAGCTCTCCAACATCCATTTCCAAAGACTGCTGCTAATTCTAGGCTCTATGCATATATTTAAGGTGTAGGAATTGGCTTCTTTCCCCAGCCATTAGCAATGATAAGCATGATATTGTTCATTAGGCAGCATAGCCTACGTTATATTACATTATACCTACCCAGCCTCATTGCATAATGAGTTTCAGCATCATGAAAGAAATCCAAAGAACTGTAAGAATTTGCATGCAACCTAGACATTAGTCCACCTGCCTGGAACAACCAAGTTACTGTGTTTCTCAGATAACCCCTCGTGAAACACGTACACAACCTCAGCATCTTGTCCCACTTTCAGGAGAAACAGAGGGCAAGAGCTGGAGCACTGGCAACAAGAAGCAAAACTCATAACAAGGGAAGAAATAACATCTAGAAGCAATTAAACACTTTTTACCAGGCCAATTAATAACGTTGGACATCTCACTTTCTGGAAACCTTATCCCCTGTGAAGTATCAAGTTGGACACTTTCAGTTAACACTTTTGTGACTAGTGAGCAGAACAGATGACCTGCCAAGAGCTAGTACTGTATTTTATGGCCTTTATTCTCGGTAAGCCAAAACAAATGAACTCTAAAAAGCTTTCTCTTCATCCAGCTTTTCAGACACACAAGTTAGAGGAAGGATTTATCTTTTCTCATTACTATTCCACTACAGTTCTTTAACATACCATCATTCTGTCTGCTTACCCTTCTCTTTCTAATTAAAGAGATTATTGTGGATTATTTCATTCATAATATATGGATAATTCAATAAGTAGAATGAAAACTCTCTTTTCAATGCACAGCTAATAATCCATAGGTAAAGCGCACAGAGAAAAATAAACCAGCCTGACAGAATGAGCTGATGAGCCACGTGTAAGGGGCGCTTCGGAACTGGTAACAAGAATGAGAACAACTGATAGTCACACACCAAGGTAGCAAGTGAGAGAGTAGCCTGGAAGGAGGTTTTAAGAGTAGAGCAGATGATACCCTGATACAAGTAGTAGTACATTTCCCCTTATGCTTCTTCAGGTCTCCCATCTCCAAATTCCTATGGAAATTAAAGTATTAGCCTTTGTTATATGGCTTAATACTCTGAAAACTTGTGAGACTGCAAGTTTTTAATACAAACCTTTAGAACACTGACATTTTATCTCCTTAGAATATCCTGTCTAAAGCCTTCTCATCATATCTCAGGCTCTCCTACCCTTTAGTTTGCCACAGGGCCTTCACTAAATCAACCCTCTCACAAAACTAAAGTGCTGGAAAGCAAAACCAAACCAGCTCAACAACGAAACTCAACGTGGGGTGCAAGTTCTACCTCTGCAACCAAACCTAAGAGGGATGCTATGTACCCTTCCTCCTGTACTCCACCATGCTGCACGCTCTCCAAATCGTTTCGAGATGGAATTCAGGTGACAAGAGCTGAAGTGCAGGTGTGCACGGTTACTCTGTATTTGGTGCAAAAGACAACCTGGTTCATGCATTTACCTGATTGTTTAAGTTTGCTTTACACATTCAGTTGTGTTCAAGCATTCAAAAGAACAAAAGCTGCATCTTCCAGATCCAGAAATCTAGATTTCTTTGCTTCCCCCTCACACTCTCACAAACAATAAGGAAAAAAGGATTTCACATGCATACCCTTACAAAATCCAGAATCCACCACGTCTCTCCCTAAATTATGCACATGAACGCCAACATCTTTCCACACCTCAACCCTGCATTCTAATTACCAATTTTAATTACAAAAGGGAGCTAAGCAGCTTAGTAACAAGGAATCCCAGTCAAGACCTCTCCGATTGCTGGTGGGGAGCTAACAGGAATAAGCCTGGTTTCCGCAGCAGCTTGCTATTCCAGCATCTCTTCCAATGCAAAATGGGGAGAAATATGATCTCTTTATGAGTCACTGACTCACATGGTCGTACTTCTGAAGGAAAAGGAAAACAGTACGGTTCAAAGTCAGACTAAATATACGCTTTGAGTTCATGTGGCCAGCTCTGCCCCTCACCGCTGTTATGACTAACCACCACCCTACCCAGCACCTTTAGCTCGGGAACTCCGCTCTTCCCCAGGGCCTACGACAAACTCCTGAAGGAACAAAGGGAAATGCCAACGCTTTTAAGCCCAGACACAGCGCTGCAGGCCAAGAGAAACAAGCACCAGCTTTAGGTCGATGCAAAGGCTCCGTGGGGCACCTCTGGTTGCCATTCCCCTTGGACACTGAGGGAGACCACTCTTCATTCCGAGGGCGCAACAACCTCAGACCCGACTTTCGCTGGCCAGGGCTTGGCTTACCCCCTCACCAAGCCCCCTAAGCCCTCAGCAGACGGCTTTATCTTCTTTCAAGGTGGGGGGTTATCTCTGGGCAGCTTCATGGAGTTTAAAACAACAAAAGAACCGCAGCCACGTACCCCCGGCTCGGCCTTTCCTCCTCCAACCGCCTCACGGCCCCTCAGCTCCCCTCAGGACGGCCGCGCCCGCCCAACACCGACCCCACCCCGGCCGCCTCAGCCCTCGCCCGGCCCAACGATCCCTCCCCACCGCTCCGCACGCCCGGCACAAGGGGGGGTGCGGGTACGGCCCGGGGCCTGCCCGCTCCACCGGCGGCCAAGCGAGCCGGGGACCCCCGCGGCCCATCCCCGCCGCGCTTACGCTGCCGCCCGCTGCCACCTCCTCCCGCGGCCGCTGGTGCCCTGGCTCCCCGCCGCTGCTTCCCCGGCTGGCGGCTGGTGCTGGTGCTGCAATTTCCGCTTCTCCCGAGCTCCCACTTCCTCTTCCCGCACGGCGGGGCGGCTCCAGGTGGGATTGGGACCCGCCCCGGCGTCCCTGTAACACCGCCCCGGCGGGGGACGGGGCTGTGGGACGGGCCGGGAGAGCTGCGGCAGGGCTGAGGGCCATGGACAGGAAAGGAGATGAGGGTGGAATATATATATATAAATGCTTATAATATATATATATTGCATATTATATTTATAATGTATAATATCTATAATGTATCCTCTTCCTAGGTTTTAAAAGCGCTACCCCATCAAAAATGCACCGTCAGGACTCTAATGGCTACAGCAGATTGGGTACAGCTTGAAACGGGCTGTTTCAGCTCCCTCTTTTTAAATATTAATACTTACTTTTGCACCATCATTGCAACTGCGTCATCTTGAGGGATTTGGATCTGCCACTGAACAAAAGATTCACATCTGACTGTTCCCGGGCTATCTAAATTAAACAGATGGTAAGAAAGAAGCAAGCAGGTTTTCAAAGGCAGCTTTAACACTTTAGGAGGGGTTCTACCACTGTTTTATTCCCAGGGAAACAGACCCCGAAGCCTGACATTCCTCGTGAAAAACATTACAAGTAAATACCCATTATTACTGTTTGAATTTGTGTAAGATAAAGAAACCCAGGCAAACAGTTCTGTAGGTTTTGGAGAGGGGAAGACAACACACTAGTAATTCCCATTCTTGGTGGGACAGCAGCCTCCAGACCCCTAAAGCCAAGCATGGTCAGGTCACAGTGTAAATAGACTCAATTACTGTATTTTTCTGTGTTAAGGGTAAGATAAATTGAGTATGGCACATTTAAAAGATAAGGGTAAACTTAATTCTGCTGGAGGAGAAAGCAGGCTCAGAGAACCTCATTCCTTCTGGCATTATTTCTGGCTCTGGTGCTGTGGAGTCTTCCCTGGTCCCTCTGATGACAGGAAGAAACACCAGCCACATTTATGTATTACTTCCCATCCATGCCATATAAACCCACCAAACGCTGCTGCTTAAATGAGACTAAACTACCTTTTTGGCAAAAATGACATAAAAAATGAACTTTAGGTCTACCCAGTTCCAAACTCACGTTCTGCTTTGAACTACTTCACGTGATCTCTGCTCTGAGTTTTGGCACAATAAAGCGCTACTGTCCGTGAAGCGCTGCAAGAGCAGTGTTTTACTTCTACATCAAGCTTGAAAGAGGAAAGATGAAGCAAGTTATAACACCTGTTTTGAGATTCCCCTGCCCTCTGAACATGCAAAAAACAAAATCACAAGTTTAAAGTTGAGATAATTCTACCACCTCCTCATTGCAGATTAAATGCATACTTTGATAGCTCTTTCCAACTAAAGAGATTTGCCAATTTACAAGAAGTTATATTTAACCAACCTTTATTTAAACATTACTGTAACACACCCATATGCCTTCTACACATGCATTTGCATGTTTCTCTTTCCAGGAGGGAGGGGAGTTTATTAAAACTGAGCCAGAAGTGGTTTTCCAGATTTCTCTTTAGATAAAACTTTGCTGTATAATTCAGAAGGAAGTCAACACACCATTTTGCCAGTTCGTGAAAGCTTTTCTATTTCACTCATTTATTCTAGCTCTCATATCAATTCCATTGTTCCATAACAGTTAAGGTTTTACAGCCTTAAAATAATAAACATATTTTTCTTTTCACATTTTACAAGTCTATTCCGCATCGTTTTCACTCCCGAGAAGCAACAATACATGACTTCGAACACCTACTATCACATCAGTGACCAGAAACGTCTATGCAATCTTTTTCTTAACAGCGAGTCAGGATCTCCTTCTGCAGTTTCATTTTAGCTTTTTCTAGAAAGATAGATTCTCTGAGAATATAAAAAGCGACTGCAAATGATCAGATAGATAGCAACTCATACAGACAAGCTAGACAAACAGAGATGGTTATCGAACAATGTTTAAAGCATCAATCACAATGTTTCGCCATTCCATGCATTCCACATCCTGCTGTTGATCTAGAGGACATAATGAAATATGCTTCTCTACTGTTTCCATTATCCTGTGACTTTATCCTTCTGTCTTCTTTTCTATGCAAGAAATGGTTTACAAATATATTAAAATTGACATAAGCAGCCCTATTATGACCCAATTTTGTACCGGTTCCCTTGACTCCTATGTTCCTCCCCCAATAACACTATGGTCATAATCTCATTTTATTAACAAAGCAACTGTTGCTCCTATATAGGACAGTACTTTAATCTTCATCATGTGGACCTGAACACACTGAAGTTGTGTGATAGCTTTAATAGTAAATCATAGCTCTAACTAACAAGTAGAAGTAGGCAACAAAGCAGTTTTCTTTGGAAAAGTGGTTTTCAGAAAGTGATTAACACACGAGCTTAAACAATTCCAAAGAAAACGTCACATCTAATGGAACATTTCTCTGCTGGAGAGAAACAAGATCTACAGGGCAGCAAACAATCATTAAGATGCTTTATTGACAATATCCACTCACTGAAAAAGTATCTGCCTGCATACAATTAGATCTTAGCTTTTCAATAGTGTTTTATTGGCAGTGGAAAATGCATCAGTACTTTATTGAAAGAAAGCAATAAATAATACTGTGATAAAAATAGTTCAAAAGTAGACTGTACATATTGTTACATAATCTGAAAATACACAAAAGATTAATAGAAAAAACAGAACAGTAACAATGGATTTCAGTTTTACAAGCAAGTTAAAAGTGGAAAACAAACAAGAATAAAAGACATGCTATATATACTGTTGCATAATAAATAATGCACCATCTGAACAGATTCTTGCTGGCTTTTTAATATGCCATTTACAAGTGTTGGATACATTTTCTACTTAACACGGTCCAAAATGGCTACAGCCATCAAAATTAAAGTCCAGACAACTCTTCAGAAGTTTACAAAACACAAATGATGACTTACATAAGAAAAAGTAAGGCCTTTATTAGAAGTTGCACTGCTTTAGTTTTCAGCCCCTTGTACCTTCATCTTTCACTACTCACTGACATGAAGCTGCAGTGCTTCAATTATTGGTCCATTAAAACTAGTGTCAAGAGCATCTTTCCACAAGTGTTTTAAATCAAAAAGATCTAGGACAGAAACTCTCTGTGGCCTGTGGATTACCACCAGAAATTATGATGAAGTCTATCATCTTCCTCAGTTAAGGAAAAATAAAAACAAAGAGTCCTTGGTTTATGGCTTGTCTTCAGTCACCGTGAAGATACATTACACAAGTACAGCAGAGAGTGTTATGACCAAGTCAGTCACTTCTAAAATGTGTTCCGTAGTGTTATAGTTCCTCCCAGCTTTAAAAACAAGTTACATTTTAAATAAAGACAGATTTCCACTACTTGACAAATCCTCTTTGTGGAAAGGTACAGTTCTGAAAGAAGAACCATCATGTACCATACCTCCAACGACAACATAGGCTTACCTGAAAAAAAGCTGGACTTGTTTTCAGAGCTAAGCTAACAGTTCAAAAAGACAAAATATATACTGCTTGGTGTCATGGTACTTTTACAAAGGTATGAAAATCCTTTTCACCTTCAGTTTCATTATTAAAAAACAATGATAATTACAGTAACTGCATAATTTACAAAAACCCTATATTATTTATAGGGGCATATACATACAAGCATTACAGTACATTCAGTTGGAAAGACTAAACTTAGAATAAAAAAAAAAAATCAGCAATGATTTGATTTGTAGACTGAATAGAAACAGAAAAAAGTAAGTAACTATATAAATGAGAAGTCACATAAATATAAGAAACATTTAGATTCTAAAATATTTTCTCTATAGTACTCATGAATTTATTTGCTAATTAAAAACTCTGTAATAAAATATCTCAAAGTGTCCATTTAACAAGTATTAACAGGTTAAGGGTTCCAAATGTTCAAAATGCTGCATATCACCGGTAGAAATAGTGTGGGTAAACTGCAAAAAAGAAACAAAAAACACACAAAAAGAACACAAAATAATCCATTAGCAGGTTTTTAAACACATTTCATTCCAAGTTTGTCACAAACAGCTCTGCAGTGTAGCAGACATGCACTGAATTACTGCCATGCCATGATGAATACAGTCTTATGGCCTTCTGATACCTTCAGTTGCAATGCAAAAGTAAACCACTTGAGGTCAAGTATTTCGGCTCCCTAGATTTTTATCCTAGGTCATCTGACTGTAGAAAATCCTGTAACACTGGGGAGAATTTGGGGGAGGGAAAGACTTCAAACTTCAGTGCTTGAAACTAAAAGAAATTTAACATAGCCTCTTGAGATGAGATTATGAACTGACAGAGCCACATGATTCCAGCTGCTATGTGCAAGAGTTTCCCTTCTCAACACTTCATACATAAGAGCCCTTTAGAGCTAAACTTGTATATGCAAAAAGGTTCAGAACTTGTGTACTTCAGTACATGAGCTGCTAGAGATATTACTGGTGAGAGGAAAGGAAAGAAGCTGTAAGCAGAAGAGACAGGCAATTTATAGCTCATGGAAAATACCAACTAATGAGGGCAAGATTTTAACTTTTTAAAATATCCAATATAGTATAAAAAAATATATAGTTTTTTCTTTGCAAAATGAGAGAAATACTTTTCTATGAGAAAATACAGCAGAGATGCTGTATCAAATCCTGGAGTAATATATATCTTTCATAAGCCAAAATACATATATTTTGTGCTACAACACCCTTGTGTTATCAAGCTCCTTAGTGTCAGCACTGCTCACAGGTACCCAAATTTAGGCTGCAGGTAGCTAAATCCAACCAGCCAGCCTAAGCAACCACAGTGAATCCAAGAATTAGATAACTATGGAATTACCCCTATAACAATTCAGTATTGAAATATGTTGTAGCGGGGTAACTTTGACCAAGGACTCTAAAAGATCAGTAATCTCAACTGCAGTGTCACACAATAAATTCTTTCCTTTATATGCCTAATTTAGTTCCCTTCCCTCCTCCCCACTTTCACAAGCTGTTCCACCCAATCTTTGCTTTCAACACTTTCTATATA